GGATAAATTGAAAGAATTGGCTGAATTAATGGTTTCTGAAATGGAAAAACTAAAAAAATGGTTTGATGTAAACAAATTATCTTTGAACTTGACAAAAACAAAATTTATGATTTTTGGAAATTGGGTAAAAGAGGATGAAGTAATTCTGTCCATTGATGGAGTTACTGAACTCCGTTTTTTGGGGGGGTAGTATTGGATGATAAATTAAAATGGAAATCTCATATTGAACATGTTAGAAAAAAGATGGTTAAAAATATTTATATTCTGGGTAATGTCAGAGATATATTAGATTATAAGGCAATGCGTATTTTATATTTCTCACTAATTATAAAGATGGATAAAGATCTAATGATGAACTAGTGCTGATAAGGAAACAATAGTGGAAGTGCCAAACATGCATATCTCTTAATGGTCAAACAGCCTTTAACAGGTGAAAATTAGGCCACGCCCTCAACCATGCAAACGTTAAGGCTTAAAGGTCAGGAATTAAAATGATCTATAGACAACAAAAACCGTTTTTGTGTCAGACTGCAGTCGTGTTTATTAGTTCTTATGAATCTCTGGCTCTCTTCCACAGCATGTCTTTGTCCTTCCTTCCTGTTTGTTAGCTAAACTTTGTCTTTGACTATGAAAGTCAAACAATGTCATAAATCAGTAATAATATGTGATATATTTTGTGAGGCCTGGGCTGAAGATGATTTTGCCAATTTTGGTGACGATTTAAAAATGAATGTGCTGTATAATGTTTTATATTTGACCTTGTCAGTGCCTAATTTCAGTCCTCTCCACCACTCGGCCTCAGTGTGCAGAAGAGGAAGATGTAAAAGGAAAGGTAGAAAGGTGGCAGCTGTGTCCACAGCTCCAGCGCTCAGCCTCTAATAACAGCTGATTCCTGCTGCCGGCTGATAAAGCCAGAGGTGTGCTGCCTCACCCTGATACCGCTGCTGCACACCCAAATCTCATTTTGACCAGAGATTGTCTGTTTTTATGTTTTTTGTGCAGGGTGGAGAAGAAATGAAGCAATGACTCTTAGAGGAGATGGAGGCCGTTAAAA